CGGGACGAACACCCGAGAGGCACTGACCCCCTGGCCACATGGAACCCAGGCTTGCCCAAAACATAGCACAGGTGGATGTGTCTTTTTATATGGGGGAAGCCGCAAAATGATAGGATGCCCGCTAAGGTTTGATTCCCTATTCTCTTCACCCAGCGTTCTCTTTGGAAACCACCTATGTTCCAGAAGTTTGGCCATTTTTTGAAGAGAAGGATCCCAGAAGAAAATGGGGAGGGTACAGCTAGAGCTTACCCCCCTTTGCGTTCCTTTGAAGACCATCCCAAAAAAAGGTACCGATGCTGAACTCATGGGACTAAGCAAGTTGGATGTGATACACAAGGCACATCCCCTCTGCCCAAACTGGGCTGCTCAAAATGGAGGTCCTAATCGCTATCGGGAAGCAGCCGCACATTCAAAAGGGTCCGGTCCCTTGCGAAGCCCAAGGTCAGGATCTTGCGGATTAAAAAAAAAAAAAAAAAAACAAAAAAAAAAAAAAAAAAAAAAAACATGGAACCGCCCAGCCCTACACCCCCAAAACCGCATCCATCTCGGCTTCTGCTTCTGCTGCTTTTTTTTGCGGGCGAGGCGCGGACATGCGGTGCAGCATCTGGGCGACGGACTGTAGGGACTGGTGTTCCTGGCTCTTGGGGTCCAACTTCTTGGCCTCGTCCAAGAACTCCTCCGACCGCTTTTGTTTCTCTCGCTCGGAGCGAGCCCCCGATCTTAGGTGGATGCACTGGGGGCAAACGACCATGGGATTGATTGATTCCCACCCAAAAAGAAAGAAAGACATGCGTGACTCTCCCTGTATTGAGAAGTTGTTAGTCTTGTGTTGTATATGTGTAATTGGATGGGGGGCAAATTGCGATAGGACTCACAACCTCCCCCCCCCAAAACAAAAAAACAGTGTGACTCTCCCAGTATGGATAAGTGGTTAATTTTATGTTATGCACGTGTAGTTGGATGTTTTTGCTGCAAATAATTGCTAATATAGCAAACAACCGCAAAGCACCACACCAAACAAAAAATAGGACATGTCTGGTCAGCTCGTGGAAAACATGTTCAATGGGTCTGACGACCACACTGTGAGGCAAGATGGAGGACTGGTTGTCAAGGGGACACCGCAAGTAGAAAAAAGCCTGAGCATCAGGCGCGTTGTTCAACAGAACTATATCTTGAAACCCAGCCTTCTGACACGAGAACAGGTGGATCAGATGCCGTGAAAACAGGTGGACCTAAGTCGAAGATGACTGAAACTCGAAACATGCACTGACGAGGTAAAAAAAGAGGACGGCCAATTTGACCCCAGCCAAAGTGAGAAGAAGCCAAATCACCCGTGGTTCGTGCCGGCACTGGTTCGCCCCTTTGTTCGTGCAGCACGCCCCGCGCCAAGCCCTCACGGCTCCTCTGCCATATGGCTCATGTGCCCATCCTGAGAGCCGAAGACCAAGGGCGCTGCGGTCGCCGTGGCTGGCGTCGCTGGCGTCGCTGGCGTGGGCGCCGGCGTGAACATGGCCGGCACCCCCAGGGCAAGGGTCGTGGTGGTGCTGGTGCTTTCGCTGGTGCTGGCAATGGTGGCCATGGCAATGGTGGCCATTGTGGTGGCCATCGTGGTGGGCAGCGTGGTGGCAAGAGTGGTGGTGGCAAGTGTGGTGCTGGGAGCAATGGTCTTGCTGGTGCTGGCAGTGACGCCCTCATGCTTGTTCAGCATCTCCTGCAACGCTGCAACTGCAAATCTCACAGAAAAACCGAAGGGCGGCCTCGATTTTCGCAGGCTAGAAGCGGTCACCAGAATCCAACGTCAAGAAGCAGGTCGGCTAACAATCCGACGTCATGTGCATGTTCTGCGTTGAATGAAGTGAGAGAAGATCTGAGGGAAGACGTGTTCAACAGGCCAGCTCTGTCTGGCAGTCCTCGTACTGCTTGTAGGCCTGGTTCCCCAGCACCTGCTTCCAGACCGGATCCTCGCTCTGCAGCTCCACTGCTTCCTCCACCTGGGCGGAATTGATGCTGCGTGGCTTCATGGCAAAGGCCGTCACCATCACCAGGCCCAGCAGAAACCTGGGAATTGATCCAAGCCCGAAAACCCCATGTATCGGACCCTGGAGTGCCACTCGGTGTCCTTTTAGGGACAATAGATGGCCCTAGTAGATGATTAAGC